GGGAGAGGGTGGGGGCGTGAACAGGCAGGGACGCCCGGTGGTCGCGAGACGTGCGGACCTTGGTGGTGGCCAGGGTGTAGCCCGTGGGCTGCGCCTCCATCGCCGCACGCGCCACGTCGCCGAAGTCCGCCTTCTCGTCGCCCTCCTCGTCGCCGGCCCCCGCCTTGGCGCCGCCGCCGCCCGCCGCCGCGCCGCTCGCCGCCTCGGGCTCGGGCGCCGCCGCCGCCGTCGCCACGGCCTCGCTGCCGCCCTCGCCGGCCGCGCTGGCCGGCACGGCAGCGGCGCTGGCCGCGGCGGCGGGCTGCTGCTGTTGCGTCTCGTCTTGCTGCTGCTGCTGCTGCTCCTCCCCCACAGGAGCCTCCCCCGCAGCCGCCGCCTTTGCCCGTTTCCGCGCCTTGCGCTTCGGCCGGGCCCCCTCCTCCTCCTCCTGCTGCTGCTCCCCGTCCGAGGAGTGGTGCTGCTGCTCTGCGTCGCCGTCCGGGACCACAAAGCCGTACCTACAACACACATAACAAGGCGTCACACGAGGAGCACCGACCTCAAACGGCTTGCCGCGTCGCGTTGCAGCGGGCGCCGGGCACCCACGCGTGCGTCACTCATTTAGTGCCAGCCGGCCCACCTGCCACCTGCCGCCCATCCAGGCGGCCGTGTCGCAATAATCTGCCCTTCCAACAGACCGGGCCCACCGAGCTGCGCCGCCTGCCTCGAAATCAGTCCACCACCCTCACTGCCATTCCTCCCTCCCGCACGCACCTGGCCAGCAGCTGGTCCAGGGGCAGGTCCGCCTCCGCCTCAAGATCATTGAGCTCGTCCGCCGGCGCCTCCTCCTCCGCCTCTGCCATCCTCTCCTCCTCCTCAAGCGTCGCCTCGTCGTCCTCGCTCTCCTCCTCGCCGGACGCAAAGTCCGTGTCCTCATCACCACCCCCCGCCTTTGGCGCAACAGAGGGCTTCTTGTTCTGCTGCTGCTGCTGCTGTTGCTGCTGTGGTGCCGGCCCGGCTGCGTCCGCCGCTGCGGTGGGTGCCGCCGTGCCCGCGGCGGCCGCGGCCCCGCGGCGCGGGCGCTTTGCTGCGGCGCCCTCGGGCGCCCCCGCGTCGCCGCCGCCGCTGCGGCGCCGCTTGCCCGGCTCCGCGTGCTGCTGCTCCTGCTCGTCCGGCTGCCCGTTCGGTGCGCCGCACTGCTGCTGCTGCTGCTGCTGCTGCTGCTGCGCCTCCTCGTCTGCCGGCTGGTCGTCTTCCAGCGGCTCCTCTTGCGCCAGCACATCCAAGCCCTCCTCCTCCTCCTCCTCCTCCTCCTCCCCCTCCTCCTCGCCGCCCCCTTCCTCGTCTTCCCCGCCTTCCTCCCCATTTTCCTCCTCCTCCTCCTCTCCACCCTCCCCCTCCTCCCGCTCCTCCTCGTCCGCGTCCATCGGCTCCGCGC